AATTGTGCCATTCTTTGGATGCCATTTCCTTTATAGCTTTATATATATTAAAATTATTGAATACATCAACATTTAGACTTATATTTCATTAATATTTAATGGGTTTTGTATCATAATTCATGATTATTAACCACAGAACCAATTTAATAGTGAACTTGATAAGCTCGCCTAATCAATATCATCATATTGCATGTTTCCAAAAAAAAAACCACTCTCACAGACCTCCGACGTCTATCAACGTATGACGGACGCTGTCAATTATATGTTTACCATTAATATTGTTGGTGGCGATCGAAATTAAACTGTATATGTATGTTATTAAGGTTGATGGATGATCGTTATGACGGGTCCAATTAAATTGGCCGGTCCGTCGGGATGTCAAAGCGTCGCGAACCAGCGCCGACGGGACAATCTCGTGCTGAGAGCAATCTCGCTCGACCCCGCGGCCAGTGATGCTGGGAAATATATCGATAATATAGACTTATATCGAATAATTTATATACAACAGTTTCAGATATCATATTCTACATATTAATTCCACTTACGTTTGATTTAAAATTTTCTTAACATTGCTTATATAATCGATTTTAAGTTAAAGACAATAGTTTAGGTTGTACGTTCAGTAGTATAGTAGTCGATGATAATTTCATCGATATCGATAAATCCACAGCCACCCTGACAGCATCATTATCATCTCCGCGGGGTGCTCGGGTCAGAGAGCCGAGACAATCTGTCAAACGTAAGAATCACACACGGCCATATTCCGCAGCCGCCCTATTAATCATTTTTCTGATTTTTTTTTACCATTTCCGAACGTATGTTCTCTCCGTTAATAGCTACTATTCTGGTGCCAACAGACATACATATATATAACCCTATTCCATTGTAATAGAGCTCAAAGTCGCTGTGTAACCAATACTGGGAATACATGTCGTTTGATTCGAATGTCATGTTTGAGATATAATCTTGACGAAAAATTTTCTCTGACGGGGTCAAAATATACACGCTCTTCAATTACATTTGACATAGTTCCCTTGATTTGTTGAATTAAATGTTTGTATTGTAAATTAAGATTATGTTTGATATATAATCTAATATCTGTTCCGTTTATTTAGCGTTTCGTAATATCAAAGTTCAGACGAGTAAGCCAATACAACTTAAGGCGGGACCCGAAAAAGATTAATCGTTAAGCCTTGATATTTTAAAAGTATCATTAACTAATTAGATAAATTACGGAATGTTTCACGACATTTTCACAATAAATTCGTAACACGCAGAGATAATGGACCATAGATTTTTATGAATATTTAACAATTTATTCACCTTTATTACTATTGACATAAGATTCAATTTAGAATGAAATTTCTACAGTATGATCTTGACATAATTTGTCAGTACCATACAACTGGCTGCCCACGGCTGTGTTCAAAGTACACCTTAAATATGACTGTTATTATGATTTTATCACGAGATACAAATAAATTCTATAAGGATATAACTTTATTGCTCAATCGATAACTATATTGTCTCAACACGATACGAATATGGGCAAAAAGTGAAGAAAATATTTTAAATTATTATTAATGCATTATCTGGAATATTGAAAAAAATACAGAACTAAATTTAAAGCATAAAAAGGATGAACAAGACATTTTATACCCATTTCAAAGATCCTTTCATTCAGTTACCCTTAAGATGGTAAAAATAATTTACGAAAAGAACTGTTGGCTCTGTATCTGTTACCAAAAAATCGCTAAAAGAATTGACGTACTATGTATTCAATGATAAAGGATTAATTACATATGTTTTTATTCACTTATACTTCCAAAAAGCTGTTAAAAAATTCTACTGCGTATTTTCAGAGGTCTTTCGATATTAGAACAGATTTCAACTATCAAAATTATATTGTGATTAAAAAAAGCAAAATATCTCTTCTTTACGATACGATCCAAATGAAGATATTGCAAACATTTTAATTATAATCATTTTATATCAATATTGTGAATAAATCGAAGTAAATCGTCTAAAAACATTTTCGTTTCCTAATATATATAGACAAAGAATATGTACATTACAATATGTCCATCATAGCAGCCGAATGCATCCATTACTATTTGATTGCGTAACAAAGAAACAGATTCACACGGCCATCTTGCGACACCACGGTTTTGTGGATGTAGACAAAATGGCGATAAGGAATGGTTTTGTACTTATTTAATGTGGCATTGTCTTTCTAATATGCAAATTGTGTAATAACTTAATATTATACTTTCGAATAAAATTATTATTGTATATATTTTGTAAGCCTAAAGATAATTTTTTTGTTAGTACATAATTTTATATTATATAATAAAAATTTATTTGAGGCTCAGGGAAGGCTTAAAAGATGAAAAAAAATTAATAATTTCCGGGAAAACCCTAAAAGCAGCCCTTTTCTATTTCCCATACAATCGTTTTTTTTTAATTAGATTTGACAACTAACTAATATGTCAATCATTCTGTCGCACTTCAGAACACGGAGATTTATGGATTATAGGTAAACTCCAAAAAAATAAATAAAAATATATATATGTATTTATCGATTGAGGCAGTACGAAGTCTGCCGGGTCAGTTAGTATCTATATAAACTTAGTAGATATATTTTTTTAAATCCATTAATCAACAACCAAGAAGGTTGCTAAAACCTTACCTGTCAATGTTGTTCGGATTGTTTTTTTTATTACATTTAATTGATTAATCAACACTTATATTATTTATAATAAAACAAGTACGACTGAAACGTTTCCATTGTCCGAACACTTAACGGATATTTTGTATATAATGGAGATTGATAGGAATTTTCAGAAATAGTACCTTGGAAACAAAGAACAAAAATAAAGGTATTTTGTACTGGTATTCAAGGTGTTAAAACAATTTGTTAGTGAATGATTTTTAATTTAATATTATTATATTGTTTAAATTGTTTAAATATGAATGAAAATAAACATATTGAAGGATTTAAATAATTTTTAAGATATTACTAACGCAATAATGTCTATATTTATCTGTAACAATTTTCTTGCTGTGAAAATTTATCTGTTTTTCTTTCTTCATAAAAAATGGAAACAACTTGGTCTTTTTTGAGAAAGGAATGAATTATACTGAAAGTTAAAAACTTAAATAAAATGTTTTTTATCTTGAATAGTGAAGATTTCGAAACATTTCGGTGATAGATAGTCAGGGAATTTGAATTTTATTGATCCCAAAATTTATCAAAATAAACTAAAAAAAACATGCCATTATCTATATTCCTAAGGCTACACATTTTTCTGATTTTAATATTTACATTCACTCTCAAAGACATTACGGCCGAATCCACTATGATGAAATAGAAATGGCACATCAATAAAACATTTTTTTATTACTCTCAATAACGTAGTACGCTTCTATCGTTGCATAACTCTGTAAACGTCATATTGCGTCAAGTTCCGCGGGTTAAGTTTGACAATTAATACATTAAAATCTACATAGATAAAATATAAAATAACGCAGAGTATATAAAGATTAGAAAAGACGTTTAAAATAAAATCTTAGTAATTTAAGAAATTGTTTATAATTAATATTTTTTTATATAATATTAATTTGTATTTGATTTTGTAACTGTATGTGCCGTCAATAGTTTATATTCGTTGGTTTTTGTTGCGTATTAAAAACTATCAATCACTTTATATCTGAACATGACAGGACATGTAGTTTCACACTTGAACTATTAGTAATACAAGAAAAACGTTTATAATATAATATTTTATTATTTTTAAATAACACATAACTTAGATATAAAATTCTCGTTAGCCAGAGAACTCCTCCGAACCGACTGGACCGATTTTGATGAAATTTTGTGAGCATATTTAGTATGCCTAAGAATCGGCCAACATCTATTATTCATACTCCTTAGTCATACGGGTTGATCACCCTTAATTCTTTTTATTTTCGAAGAAATTTTTCTGTTTTTTTTTTTTATAATGTAGCATTAAAAAATATATACAACCTAAAATTTTTACATTTTTTATCACTGACCCCTATTTTTATATAGCAAAACAACGTTTGCCGGGTCAGCTAGTATATGTATAATTTTTTATACCTCTTACTATGACCTCTATTGACACAATTCCCTCACAAATTTAACCATTTAAGTTTAACTTCGATACATAATTGTTGGCTCCATCACGGAACTAACTGATATGACATGTCAATCACGAATTATTTTATAGTACAATTAAATACGATTGTAACATTCATATATATAATTTGATTACGTCAGTCGCTATTGACTAGGCGGAGAGCGTGTGAAAATATTACCAACGACCCACAGACATACAGCATTTTTTCAGAAAAAATTATCTATGATTGTCAAAATTAATTATAAATACGTTATATTAGATAATAATTGTTCATTATGTTTTATGTTTAATCGGATAACACAAACGTAACATTGAATTATAGTATTTTTTAACACTGAAAAATCTGGAAAAGGAATCTTATTTATTAACAATATTTTCAGATTATAAATAAAACGATACAATTGTTTGTTAATTCTTAAAAAAAGATTATAACTCAAGAACGACTTTAAGGATATGGTTGAAAATTGGTGGAGAATTAGATAGATAGCTTAGAACCAGGAGATGGACATAGGATATTTAATTCTGTTCGATTGAAACAGAAAAAAACTCAGCAATTTTACTGGTTATTTACAGCCTCTATGGCAGAATAGACTTGGCTCGGTCAGCTATAAATATATGACTAATGCCGATATTAAAGCGGACGAAGTCTCGGGCAAAAACTAGTATAACATACAATTTATTTGTTTGTTAAAATTCTTGTCTGTTCTAACCGTCATCTATATTAACAATTGTTTATATATTTACACTCGTAGCTTGTATTTTAAGTTAAAATAAGTTATTCTTACAACAGTGAGATATTGTTTAAAATTGATAAGAATAAGGAAGATTTTCAATGTCCAGTTCAGAGGCAACCTCACAAGAAGTCATCAGATCTCTTCAATGGCAGACATTGTCTCAGACAATTCTGCGGCGGCGGCGTTACAAAGAGTCCATCGTTCATTCCCTGTCCATACCTCACTTGCGGTTTGAGTAAATTGCTTCTCATGTAAGTAATTTTCTAACTCAGACGCGACCAATTCCTATGAGTACAAGAAGCTGTGTAGTATAGTATGGAAGTTCTATCGTTATATTTGAAATATATACTTGATAAACCCACATATTAAAATTAAGTTGTAATTCAAATTAAAATATTCTGCAAGCCAAGAACATGGCAATAAGATGGACTAGGTACTTAAATTGTTTGAAAAAGCAGTAGATATAGAATTTTTGCACATTAAAATCATTAATTATCTTTATATCTCAATTTAAATTGATTATAGCAGAAAATTTAATAAATATATCGGTGAAAACACCAAGAGCCAGCTTTTCACGTTCTATCAAGTTATCAAAGGTTGTTTTATAAGAAGATTATTTTACGTCCGCAAATTGGTGTTTCAATTTGTCTAGTATGTCTGGAATTCAAATATACCATCCACTGGCTTAAATCAAATTTCTAGACGATTTCATCATTAGTAAGAAGAGTGGCTTAAAATTATTCAAATTAAACTAATATCAATATCATTGAAGATATATCAAGAGACAAGAACAGAAACAAATATTTCCTCATAATGAAGCCATTATTAAACTTACTTTTAATAATCCACTAATAGTAAAGCACTCATCAATATATTACTTATTTTATCAGCGGGTGCCGCGTTTGTCACATGTATATATAAACACTACAGTGATAGTTTATCAATCTAATCACAGCCAGATTGCCCCACGTGATGTTTCCCATACTTAATGAATATTACAGTTTATTTGAGGCTTATATCATTTAATGTTTATGGATAAAATATATTGCTAATTTAAATTAGTATGCGTAAAGGAAAATCTGAATTTAATCACTCTCTTGGTGAAATTCCCGAAGTTTCGGTTCCTTTTCAGCAACCGTGATCACGGACATACGAGTTAGTAAATATGAAAAAAAATAGTTTTATTTCAATGAATATTCGCGAAAATCTTAGATCATTACACTTTTGCTACTTTACCTTAATTTAAAATATGATACCTACGTAAATTGGTAGTAAAAAAATAGCTATTGTCAATCGGTAATTCATTTAGGCTGGCATCTAATTATTAAGATTGCGTTTCGAAAAAATAACTTCGTGTAGCAACTACTATCTACTATAGCTACTTTTAATATCTCGAGAATGAGTACCATAAATATTAAACCATTTTAGTATATTCAAATACATTTTGACAACATTTTCCACCATAATATCAATGATATAATGGAACACAAATAATTGAAATACTTCTTTACTTAGAATGAAAATACTTATATCTGTTACTTAGTAAAAAAATAGGTGATGTAAAATTGATGAAGAAGTAAGGTAAGAATAACTATGAAATGTAAACAAATTGTTAGGAAGTGTTTACACTTTCACTGTTAATATCTTAAGAATGTATGATTGATCAGTTGTTCACAATGCTAGACGACAGTTAATAACCGGCCTGAGGAAATCCCTAGCGTGTGGTCCAAGTTACAGACTGTTGTCGGGAGAGAAATATACGTATCAAATCATAGAAATAATTAAATTGATTAATACTCCGTAATTCGTAACGTAATTTCATTCAATGCTAGTTTTACTCCGGCTAGCGAGGTTTGAAGTTTTCGACATAATATTTAAAATGTCAGAAATAAATGTTAGGTAAATTCTCAAACTATGTTCTATATACCATTCGATTAAATGTCAAAAATTTATTAATATGTATAATAATGGCACGAATGAAGCAAGCCATTAAATAATCATAAGCCAAACATGTCTTATATGTCATAACAGAAAAGAGCTCATCATCTTACACTGAATCATAATTAACCAAACATAGCAAAATTACTGGCTGTCAAATAAAAAAATCACATCAAAATCGGACCATCAAGTTTAGAACTACGATACCAACCTCAAATTTAAAACACCCTTCTTTTTAAGTCGGATGTTAAAAATAGAACAGTTTACTTTTCAACTCAAAGTAATCTATTAATTGGTACTGTTTCGAGAAATATAAATAGTATTATTTATGATATTCATAGTATCTTGAACAGCTCAATAACTAATACTTCGTTCGACGAGTTTCAATACCAAAATTTAAGTCTCGCTTTCTGTAATTGTTTATTATAAATCGCAGTACGCTCCCCCTCGCGTCTCGCTCCAAACGGAACCGGTTTCCTCCGAAAGTGTTTGTTGACACGCGAAATTAATATTATAAATGAAACGAGGGGAGATCGGAAACGTCTTTTGGGTAAACAAGAAATTTTTCATTTTGTTAATTCCAACTTCTACACTTCACTGTTACTTCAAAGCGATTGAACCTCGCTATGGGGAGAGTGATTTTGATGTCAAATTTAGCTACAAGATGTTTTAATCTCAATAAGACAACGATAATCTGTACGTAAAACTGAATTAAGTAGCACAATAGGTAATTAAATTATTAATCACTATTGTTCGTAACAATATCTTGTCTCCCAATATAAATGAATTACTTTTAGTATAAGTGTGATAACTCACTACAAACATTCTTCTTCTTCTTCTACCTGGCAATTACCCAGCTTTAGCCAGTGTCTGCCTTTACATGTGAATAGTTTTGACTAATTGTTTTTACGACCGGGCCGCCTGCCTGACATCAACCCTCTTTGGGAATGCATTTATCAGTGATGTCTAGATACTCTTAGAAAGTACATATGACTCGGAAAAGTCACATTGGTACTTGCCAAGATCGAACCCGCGCCCTCGTGAATGAGAGGCGGGCCTTTTAACCACTAGGGCACTACTGACTAAACTACACTACATACATTATACAACATCTTTTACAGTGGTTAAAAATTCTTTAAATAAATTTCCATTCAGCGATAGACGTCATATTTATAATATTAACACCATTAACTCTAACCAAATCTATATATACATTATTATTACTCGTATTTTCCAAGTCCTTATATTTGACCTTCATCATGTCCCTTGCCCTTTGTCAGTGAAATTCCCTTGACATTCGTCTCAGATCAGTTTTCGATATTATTTCTAACGTGCCCCATGCGCCTGTCGCACCTACAACGTGATATGTCAACGTTTTATTCTTTAAATTTTGGCTTTAACCGACATCACATAAAGGAAGTGCTGTTTATCAGATATAACAAACAATATACTTATAAATCCGATCATTACAATACCAGCTATAAATTTAAATCTCTCGTAGGATCTATGAAGACGTGGTAGAAGCATTTTATTTAGGCCTCAAGTCTTAGATGTAAGTCAAATGCTTGTATTTCAGATATATTTGAGAGTAAAATTTGTATGAATAAAGGATAAAGTAATGGTAAGTCATTCCCAAAGAGGGTTGATGTCAGGCAGGCGGCCGGTCGTAAAAACAATTAGCCAAAACTATTCATAACATGTAAGGCAGACCCTGGCTGAAGCTGGGAAATTTCCAGGTAGAAGAAGAAAGTATAAAGTAATGGTAGAAGCCAGTCAATTAATCGATAATTAACCAATAAGACAATAATACGTGTTACAATAATATTAAGTGACACACCCCTCGCCAAAAAGAGACTCACTATCGACTGACAGTGCCATTACTGTGAACTACACCGGCTTTTAGTAATAACGACAGAAAAATACAATTATAATGGTGACAGTTATATAAAAATGACGAAATTTTAATAAAAAATACGTTTCAAATTATTTTTGCATATATTTTTAATTATATTAGAATCAAAAAGAATTAAAAAGAAAAGTTGTTGGACGGAATAGTTTTACATCGTATTTATATTAAAAATATATATTATAATTTTTATACATAGATATACGCAATGAATAAGTATTTTATTTGTAAATAAATAAAATGAGATTTCTTTTACAATTTCATTGACAGAGAATACTACTTAGCAAAAAAATTATCTTGATTTTTTGTCAATATATATACATAAGCGTTTTTTTTATATTTTCATGCAAATAAACAACTTTTTTCGTATAATCTAAACGCTTTAATTATATCGTATAATACAAATTAATCTGCTATCTGTACCTACCCGCATAATCTTGGATTACTCTTGACATTGACCGGTGTCAAGTGTGCTTGATTGCTTTTTAATTAGGATGTATTATACGACTTATCTCTGATAGAAGTTTCATTTGATACATATAATAATCATTGAGAGGCTCTATTGATAGATAAGGCTTATCAATATTATCGTTCATGTACTATGTGGTTACGTCAAACATACTGTATGCAGTTTTCTGTTCATAAAAACATACTTCAAGAGAAGTTGAGATATAATGGAAGATTGTATAATTAAAATGACAATTTCTAGATATTTATATAAATTTAAATTAATATATATTTACTGGAAAAGTATACGACATTCGTATTGCTCTCGTATTCCAAAGAATATGTGGATTTTCTTAACAAAACCATAAGAGAAATAAAGTTATCAGTGAAACAAAATAGTGACATATGAAATAAAAAAAAATCATATGAATAATCCACTTATATGAGTCAAATTAATGAATCTTTTGATTGAAGTTCGGCGAACACTTATGCCGATACTTACAAAACATTGTCAAACACGGCGTCATATTTCTTGGAATATAAATAAGTCATATCACGAAGTGGCGGAAAACTTATCTCGGAATGACCAATTTGTTTATTTTAGGAGACAGAAGCCATACCTGCACTTCACATTCTGGATGGAGCTTTTAGAGAACTTACCAGCGGATTTACTGGCTTCAGACGAATATACGTTTTATATACACGTCATAAAGATCAATTTATAATAGCCCATACGTTTTGCTGACAAACGGTGAACAATAATTTAAGATCGAGCGATGCTGCTTCATATGACGTATCATATATGTGGTATAGTCCAATATCGCTAAACGAATATTAATTTTGGTAGCACAGTGCTATCAGCCATTGGATTATATACCGTGTTAATAAGTTATAGAGTAGTTTTTTCAATGATATTAATTCAAATTACTTGGCGCCACGCTTTGTCATGGCGATATAATCTGTATCCGGTGCCGTTTGGGATGAAAATACATTTTTACTTATCTTAAGTGGTTGTATCTGCTTATTAATTAGCTTTCGAGGCTACACGATGCTGTCAGATGTAACATTTTGTCGGCTGTGTTGTGATCATAGCCACTAATAGATGATGATTCTCAAAAGTGTAATGGCGAAGTTTTACGTTTCACGTCAATCTCCGAGTGACATATCAATTTGTTGAGCGGACCGATTTTATCCTACGATGTAAAATATAAGAACGAAGATATTATCTATAACATAAAATACTATAGATCTGACGTTATTTAAAATAAAAAAGATATTTTCTCTTCAATTATCGTTAGTAAATCTCCCAAGAAACTTTCAATTCAAATCCTATATATAAAGACATGTACATTAACACAGTTTCGTACATTCATTATGTCACAGTCATTATTCTGTGTATCACAAGCAATTACTAGATTCAAATCGGCCAGGTGACCGTTAAGACAATCAAGTGCTTCCTGTATTACAGATAATACATAGAAATTGTATATTAAAGCTTATAAATATGTATGTGTCGCGGTCTGTGGACACAGACGTTGCACAATCTCTCGGACGGACACAGACACAGACATCCATGGAGTCGATATTATACAACATTTTAAATTAATCTTTATTATATTCATTATAAATATATTTAAATATATATAAAGTAATTTATGTGTAAATTTTGTAAAGGCATTGTTGAATATAAATTCACCTAAACTTATCTTATATAAAGTCCTTTCTTTGACGGTTAAAATGAAAGAATTGAGCACATTTGAGAAGCTTTAACTGTATTAGATATATCAAAATTTTATGATAGTTATTTCTTATTAATTATGATCTACAATTAAAGACGACTCCATAGCACTTATGTCCAGAATTGATGTACAGTGCCGGGCCACGGCGTAATAGAAAAAGTGATACGCGGCACACCGCACAAATACATTCTTATCAGCATTTGTTCTATACAATACACCACATTACAACCACCTCACGGCATATTCGCCTTTATAGCTTTGATATATGGGTGAAACTCACATGATATATTTCGAGGTTACATTCATGGGGCCACTGTAAGTACGGATGAAGTAATGTTATAAGTTTTTCTCCACAATAACCTACCACAAAGTAAGAGCGCGATAGATTTATTTATGAAAGATGAACCGCAGATTTAGTTTTAAATTCTCTCCTTATTGGTGATATTATGTTTCGTTAATATCAGCATACGTCAATTAATAAAGTAGGTAAATAGGGGCATAAATTTGAGGTCACGCAAGGCTTGGTAACGAGGAAGAGCATTCCATTGAATACGGAAGGAAACATACCTAACAAGCACGATATGCGGATAATACACTACTTGAACTATATTTTACACAAATTATGTATTTATAATACCAATACAGTCTTTATAATTCCTTGCTACATATCAAACAATTATGTATAAAAAGAAATTTTACGTTGACTACTGAATAGAATGTTATTCAATTGACACAAAATTATATTTTTACTCCTATCTGGAGGAAATAATTAAATTTTTCCTAGTTATGATAGTATCTTCATCTAAAAATCTATTAAATATCTATAAATATAGCAATAAAGACCTATAATTATAAACAAATAGTTAGTATGAGTTAGTTTGATAATATTTTTCTTTTGAATTCAGTCGTAATAACTTAACTGAATCACAGCATCGGCGGATATCAAAGCTCTAGAAATCCACAAAAAAATAATTATAATATTAAAGTAAGACAAGTAACCAACAATGTCTTCACACTCACCCACCATCAAAGTCTCAGTATTTTATGACATCGCACAATGGAAAAACTTATATTGCTCCATAAACTGGCGTGCGAGTAACAAAATGTTACTAAGAATATGAGGACACTTGCTAACGATACTACACAGGAAAAAAATACTTCTTAAGTATAGTGTATAATATAGAAACAGAAATTACAAAAACTATTGTAAATTACGTTAATATATTTACAAGCTTTAGTTTTTTGTAACGCTAGTTGTTGCATGTAGTTTTAAATTACAAAAATTTTTAATTCAATTTATATAAAATTATCTACATTTTTTATCGGTTGATAGCTATATTGAATGAAAGTTAAATAAAAGAAATATAATATTTAATAAGATAATAATATAATTGTACAGTGTACACCCGTCTTTAAAGTGTTACACCCGCAAGCCTCCATACATAGTTAATCCTTTGTCAGCGCCGCATATATTAGAGCAGTAATGAACTCGCCAATTACGATCGACCATTAAATATGTTTATTCAGACTTTAAGATGTAGTGCAGGGAGAAGAAAAACTTTTACATTGTAACATATGTTATTACATACGTATATGTAATGTCTTTCTTTGTCAAACAGCTATATGTATTGCAAGTAAAGTGTTACCAAATTTATATTTCCATTAATTATTTTGTTGAACGTATTTGGAAAAAATTTAATCTTTATATAGCTTATTAATCAGAAAAAGACATAGGCTATAATTTATACCTTAATTATATTTGATTCATATGTATGTCAGAACAGTTGTTCGTATGTCACAACAGTTGTTTGACTGTATATGTCGTTCTGAGCCTAATTCCTTAATCCAAGCGGACAGAGTCGCAGGTAACAACTAGTATAATATACCTACGTTAAATAACCATGGAGTCATGTCATTTTTGTAGACACACGATCGTTCACACGCGCTGTGACCTCTGACCCCGTCAGCCATGGAACGCGCGGTCATGATTAAGTGACGTTACATGCATCTGTATATGACGTGACATTACTTGATATATGACAATGACATACATCATAGACACAGTGACGTATAGTTGATCATCACGAAGCACCGGTGGTTTGTTTTAAAAATATATTTAAATTCTATAAATAATTTGTATATCAATTTGTCTGTCAAAGAATAAAAAGATATTAGGTACATAATTTTCATTGTAGCATATACAAAATTTTCCATATATTGTCAGCTTTATATCGATATAAAAATAATTCTTAACGTATTTTTGATATTAATTATATATCATTTCAATAAATTCATTAATATTTACATTTACTTTAAATTTGTCTTCATTTAAATTAAACACACTAAATAATAATATAAAAAATAACAATTTTTAACTCAGTAAGTAAGTTTGTGTGAAAAATTTCAGAATAAGGTAAAAACTAATATATAAAAAAATCTTGGATAAGTTCCAAATATATTTTCTAAAGTACTTAGTTATTTAAGTCTGTCATAAATTAATCCATTTCGAACAGACAACCTCTCAATTATTATTTGTAACAAAGAAATGTAAAAATTACCTAACTACATAATTTTAAATGACAAAGTGTAGATTATTCATGTAACCAGATCTAAAACTTTCGCGAGTATTCATTTAAATGAAACTAATATTTTTGGATTACTACGCGTTTTTTTTTTTTTAACAAACTAAACCTCGTCTGCCTGTGATCACGGTTGGTGCAAAGTTACCGAAACGGTGGCAGTATGTAGTTAAAAATAATAAAATTCGGGTTCGATCTTGGCAAGTACCAATTTGATTTGTCCGAGTCATGTGTACTTTCTAAGAGTATTTAGACACCACTGATTAATGCATTCCCAAAAGAGGGTTGATGTCATGCAGGCGGGCGGTTATAAAAACTATTCACAACATATAAGGCAGACCCTGGCTTAAGCTGGAAAATTGCCAGGTAAAAGAAGAACTAGTTATCAGTTTCATTCAGATTATTATTATTATATAATAAGTGCATTAAAGTCAACATACGGACAGGAAGACGTTGCATTAGCATTAAAACGGTCTCACAATTACAGCCAGTGATAAGTGTCGCCGGCTGAATTCATTAGTTCAGCTCACCTGATTTTATTTAATTAAACGCCCGCTAACACAGTACAACTAACGTTATATTATTATATTACATTTTTTCATATAAAAAAACATAATAAAATTGTAGGAAGGAAAGTAGATGTTATTTATCAAGCGTTACGCAAATTATGTTGCGAGTTAGGTATACATAATTGAACCGTGGTTAATTTAATCGTTAGTTTAACTGTGTTTTAACCGGGCTCCGATGGTTAAGTAAAGAAATGTCGTATCCTGGTCAGCAGAGCGTGATGGGAACCCTTTGCGACTTTATGGTAATTATCCATAGATACGATCGCGGTGAAAAGAAATAAACCTTAACAAAGTCTTAACTTGATTCATTATACAGTTAAAATAACATACAATTGTTTTATATTATTTAAAAAATATTATTAAATATAGATTTTCTATTCTGTAAATGACATTAATTTGACAAAATGACAAGAATTTTGGAGTCATTTTTCGTAAATATTATTAGTATATATAAATTAGTTTTCATTTGTTTCGTACAATTTTTCTTAATAATAAATCGTATGGCGTTGTCATGATAAATATAGTTTAGGAGATATTTATGGCACGTCTGATCAGATAGCGGCTGTCCACTGGTGCTGGGGTCCGGATTGACCTCGTAAATCATAACATGATAGGGCTCTTGTTAATTATATTTCTGATGACAATTAAACGGATATTTTGGAAGTGTATGAGGAATGTTTTTTTATAGCACGCTGTTATTATATGTAGCTTGATGTATCTTTTCACCTTTATTGTAAAACTAATTCATTTTATTTACTTTATTGGTCATTTCCATAACATGTCCTCAGTTGTTGTTATTTTTTGAAATTACAAACAATTACGAGTGACGTTACTTGAA